TCTCTCTCTCTCTCTCTCTCTCTTTATCCCCAACCCTCTCATGATGAGGCCCAGAGACAGTAAATAGTCCTACCCAGAGCTGGTTGTAACGGAGTACTCCGGTACTTGTACTTACGTTACAATTTTCGGTACTTTTACTGTACTCCGGTACATTTTGAGAACCAGTACTTTTACGGTACTCCGATACTTTTTATAAAAGTACTTTTGAGTATTTTAAAATACATTTTGAGTACTTTTGATTCTTAATTAAAGAATAAGTTCCGGCATTTCTGATCATAATTTACGGAACAAACACTCAGGCGGGCACAGCCGATCAACCAAGAGTTAAAAGTTGAGATTTAAAAAACTGCCAGTCGCGTCAAAGATCAGCCACTCTCGTGAATGTGATCACAAGCGTTGTAAAACTCCATGAAATGGTACAATGATCCCAAGACGGGATCACACCGAGGTGTGAACTGACCGATTCACCCCTTTCCCCCCAAACATCGCACTCGCATCTGAGCTCGCCACCTGAACTTTCATCACTCGCTGGCCTCATGCCACCATGCTACTGTGATTGGTCATCAAAGTTGACCACTCTTTGCTCGCCATATGTCACAAACCTACCCAGGGGTCACGTCAGTTCATGGGTCACTGTAGATTCTTCCATGGCTTCGTCGGCTAAGATCCCGTATTTCCCTTGCTCCAGAGCACTGGGATCTTAGGCGGAGACTACTGTAGTAGAAAATTTTTGGTTATACTACACTTACTAGACCCTAGGAAATTACATGTAGGCCTATTTTGGTTTGCCGTGGGTGCGTGGACTACACAGTGTGACCAAAATCTGTCTTACCACTATTATAATCAATTGAAACTGAAATTGGGTTTTCAGTGTATATCAATCTAACAATTTTTTAGGCTACCTAAATTTCTTTTTTCCTTTTTTTTTGGGTTTGTGCTTAAGGCTACCTTGATTCTTTGAGGATTTGTTAATGAAAAATTCAATGCACTTTTTTATATGCTGGCCATTTTCATCAATTTTATATTTTCTTAAAAGCAACTTTGTCTCTACATTTTTTCAATTTGGATACTTTTCCTACTTTCCGACCTCTAGGACTGACTTACATTTGATCATATTGTCTCGCTCAAACAAGCTATATGAAATTCATAATATCACTTACTCACTAGTTGCGTCTGTTTGTTTGCTGGGTTTTTTTTTTTTTTCAATTTCACCGACCATTTCCACCTACGTTCAGTGCGTATATTCAAATGCTTTGTATACTGTTTACATTATTAGTAATAAATGGCCGAATTTGTCAAATATTATACTAGATATGTTATTCAATATGATGTTTTGCATTAGCACTGAAGTGTTTTAGCATATTAGCAGAAAGTGCTCAAAATGTACTCATAAGTACTTTTTAAAAAAGTACAAAAGTACTTGTACTCAAGTACATTTTACAGGAAAGTACTTTTACTGTACTTAAGTACATATTTTAGATTGTACATAAATTTGTACTTAAGTACCCTTTTAAAAGTACTTTAACAGCTCTGGTCCTACCGTCTCTCTCTCTCTCTCTCTCTCTCTCTCTCTCTC